CGTCAGACAGTGAGAACAGTTCTGAGTCTGAGATGGAGAAGTACGTGGAAGGGGGAGATCACGACTACAGCAAAGCCCCCTGCCTGTCAGTACGCCTCTCAGCTAAGGGTAAGGTGGCGGCCTCAGGGAAAAGGAGACACAAAGGAGGAGAGGACACAGCACAGATACCTAAAAGAGCACGAGTGCAGCTGCCGGTAGAGGAGGAGGAAGATGAGGAGGAGGAGGAAGAGGAGGAGGAGGAGGATGAAGAAGAGGAGGAGGAGGAGGAAGAGGAGCAGCAGCAGCAGCAACCGGTGGATGGAAGACATGAAGAGGATGAAGAAGAGCAGGAAGAGGAGGAGGATGAAGAGGAAGAGGAGGAACCCGAGGAGGAGGAGGAACCTGAGGAGGAGGATGATGATGAGGACAACTCTGAGGTGCAGACAAGGGCTGCAGCAGCAACAAGCAGTCCAAGAGGCAACCAGTGCAAGTCTCGACGGGTCAACACACGCAACCAGGGCCGCAGGACAGTTCTTTACAGGGATGACTCAGAGGATGATGGCCATGGGTCGAAGGAGGACCCTCTCAACCTGGGCATGTCCCGCTCAGGACGGGTACGCCGCATGACTGAGAAAGCCCGTGTCAGCCACCTCATGGGCTGGGGTCACTGACACATCGCCCCTTTTCAAACCTCAATTTAAAAAACTTAAACGTGAGTATAACACTTCAGGGATTTTTTTTTCTTTTTTTTTTGTACAAGTGTATATAATATATATATGAGTTTTTCTTTTTATCTGAAACTGCTTATGACTTTCAAACTGATAGCTGGTGCTCATGATGTGTTGCCAAGGAGTTTCCTTCCCTGGTCGACAGAGCCACTGTTCAACACAGACACTCTCCAACTGGACTAACTCACCTCGGCCTTACTGCTCGATGGAGGAGCCTTTAAGACACGGCACCGCTCCTCCTCCTTCTGTGTCTTTCACATCCAGTACTAAACACTATACCCCTCTTCCTCCTCCTCTCGGCCCTCCCACAACTTTTCCTACTCCTGGTCACCAAAGAAGGATGCGGAGATGCCAAAAAAATGGTGCTCATATTTTAGTTCTCTCGTTTCTCAATGAGTAATTTAACAAAACTCTTAACGCCTCTGGTCACTAGTTCAGTCACGACCACCGTGAGACATGTGCAGTATCACTCAAGGTCACTGATGTCAACTTTTTGGGTACCTGGTCTTTCCTCACAACCACAAGCCTTAGTTTCCAGAGCTTACATCATTCAGATTTAGTTCTATCTGTGGCTCGGGTCAAGACAAGTATAGTTTGGGCACTAGCAATCCTTAGAAATCAGAGTGACTTCAGTCAGTAGAATATAGTACCATAGTAGTATCCCAGCTCCTGCAGCCCCTGTGGGAGAACTTGACGTCCTTGACCTGTGAATGTTAAATGTGTTTTCCTGCTTCCCTTTTTGGTGGTGTTGACTGTTTTTCGGCTCCTCGATTCTGTTTTTAGTTAGAATTGGGTGCTTTTTTTTTTTTCCTTCTTTTTTTTTTTAAGGGTAAATGTGATTGTCTGGGGTAGAAAAGCCACTGTCTCCTGTTTGTATTTGTTGTACTTCCTGATGGATCCAACCCTCATCCATTCATGGTTGCTTCCATCACACCTTCACCACCCAGCATGTGCAAACGCAAGGGGGTCTCCAGGACACTCTCTTCCACAGAAATATTTATTTTTCCATTGTATTGTACTAAGGTTCCTTTAACTATTTCATACGTTGATAGTGATGAGGAAGAGGAAATATTTGCACATTTATCTACTCCATGTGGCAGCTGAGTAATAAAGATATTAGAGAAAGAGAAATGATTTTTGTGTAAGAATGTTTAAACTGTGCCAGCACACATTCAGTCTTTTTTTTTATATTTCTTTTTTAGTTTGAACAAGTAAAACAGGTTTTAGCTCAACCTCATTCAACCTGTGTAGGACACAGCTGAAGGTCTCGTCTGATTGGCAATCGTAATCATGCTTTCTTTCGACCTGAAGCAAAGGTAGCAACCATGGATTAACCCTTTGTACATTGTGCCATTTATTTCCCTCATGTTTCTAACCATCTATGAACTGATGGGTTTTCTATCTTTGGCAGATCGTTTGCACATGTTACTGCGTTCCCCATGATATACAACAATCAGGTGATACGTTGGTGTCAGAATCACTGTGTGTAGTTTTTCTGCCTGGTGAGTGATTCCCCATTGTCGACTGGTTCGTGTTTCTTGTGGAATTAAATATAATTGGATGCATCCCTTGTTGCTGCACCGATAATGTTTACTTTAAAGCTTGTGCAGTCATTGGTTGGTTGGCAGCATCAGGAGGAAACAGGAAAGCTTGGCTCACAAATTGTCATTTTAACACTGGGTGCTCTGATCCGAACACACCTCCTCATCACTCTGCCTCCGTAAGGTCGCTGACATAAGAGAGAGGCCTCGGAGGTTGTTTTGTTTTCTCTTTTTTTTTTTGGGCTGTAGAGTTTGAGTGTCAGAGATAAAACACACAAATCAGCATCTAGGGTGCTCCGAGCGACAGCATTAACTGGCGTCTTGAAATTATTCTGCTTGAGTGTGAAAAGACTATGATTCATATTTTGGAATCTTATTTTCATATATAGTAGATGACTCTTAGTCTCGCCTCGAAGCGTCAGATTAGTCGATGATAAATACAACGATAACATTCTACTGTAGGTGGATTACGATTATGTGACTGTCTTTTATACACAATGTTTCGATTGTATGTGTTTTCTTTTTTTAATAAAAAAAATTGGATTTCTCTTAAAATGACTGATGGTTTTGGTTGTCTTTGTGGATGTTAGTGGTCTCTGATGACTTCATGATTTCAGTCTGTGTTGAGACAACAGAAACTTTTAAGAGTTGTTCACTAGACTGAGTCATGTGTAGCCTCTATGGTTGTCGGTCATAAACATGCACCGACGGCAAAGATTCAAGAGGTACAGAATGTATGCGACTGTCATCAACCTGACTGTACCATTTGCAACTGCATTAAAGCACTGAAAGCTGGGGTGAGTCAGACGAGGAACAAACAAGGTTGAGCTGTGACGCACCATGCTCCACCACACCTAGAAACTGCAGAGACGCCAGAGGATCATGGGAATTAAAATGCATCAATGCATAGAGAGCTAAAGGTTACTTTAAATGGTGCTGAGGGGGCAAAGCAAAGTGTTGTGTATATAGTGCTATTCAAAACAAATGTAGAAGATGAGCAAATGTATAAATGAGCTGTGCTGTCACACCAAAAAACATCCAGATTATATATGTATAAAATCATTACTAAAAATCAGACCTACTTATTGGAATTCTCAGTGCTGATAATAGAATGTGACATTAAAGAATAGAGCTTTCACAATAGTGTGAATAGCTGATGCTCGGTTTCTGGGTCAGGTCAGAAAATATGGCCAGGTAAAGATTTGTCAGGATTAGAAACAGGATCAGGATTACATGATCTGTATGTATGCATGCATGAAAGCAGCATTAGATAAGTGATGCTGAGGTTTTTCATCAGAGAATTGGACATCAGCAGTGGAATACCTAAATAGTGTGTATAGTCTATATGAAGCATTCAGAAACTACAAACCTATCAACCTTTACAAGACAACTCTCTAAATAATGTAGAGTTTTGTTGTTGTTTTTTTTTGCAAATGCCCCAAGCAAAGAAATGAAGCTCACCCATGGTAAAAGCAGCCAGTTCATATAATGTTAAGTGTCCTTGGTGTACCTAAGAACAGGGTAATCTTATAGTATGTCAGTGCTGAAGAGGACCAGCAGGAGAGTGGGCGTACAGGCTGATAAAGCATGTGGGCTTTGCAATGAATGAAGCTGTGAAAGTGCAAACATTTTTTATTTCCAAGTAAAACTCTAATGCTTTAAACAAACTCTTATTAACTTAACAAGTCCTTACCGACTTACTTTGTTTTGGACAGGAATGCAATTTACTTTAAGGTACGATTAAATTAAAATGTTAATATATTTTAACCATACTGGATTCAGCACTCCTTCAAAATCAGACTTGTGAAGCCTTAACAGGAGATAGTATGACCATGCATGACCTTTTTCATCTTAGGTCATGCATGTGTATTACGAGATACATATCAATTGCCAGCTTCTTAAAGGGACAGATCACCCTGTACTCAAAAATACATGTTTCTGTAGTGTTGTTTATCAGTCTAAATTGTTTTGGTGTGAGTTGCAGATTGTTGGACATATTGGTTGTAGAGATGTCTGATTTCTCTCCAATATACTGAGACTAGATGGCATTTGGCTTGTGGTGAAAAAAAAATTAAATACATTTGGAAAACTCAACAGCAATGTCTCTTTCAAGAAATCATGACCTGGTTACTGAAGATAATCCACAAACCTTGTTTTGAGCAGTTTCATGTAGGAACTATTTTCTTTCTACCTACGTATACCTGCCAACTGTATCACTGCGCAAAAGGAAGGGTGCATCTACTCATAAACAAGAGGCTTGGGCTTGTGAAAGTGCAAGATATAAGCATCAATGGCATCTTCCTTGTAATGTAGCTAGCTCAGTGGTGCTAAAAGCTAGCAGTAAATGCACTATTCCTTCTGCGCTGTGGTACAATTGGTGGGTGTAATTTGATGCCAAAAAAAAATTTCTTACATGAAACTGCTCACAATAAATTCTGTGGATTATCTTGAGTAACCGGTCATAATTCCTGGAAAGAGACATTGCTGTTGAGTTTTCAAATGTATTGTTTTGGCACTTTGAGCACCACAAGCTGAGTGCCATCGAGTTCTATGATATTCAAGAGCAGGCAGACAACTACAGCTGATATCTCCTACACCCTGCAACCCACACCAAAACAATTTAGACTGATAAACAGCACTACAGGTAAGAGGAAAATATGTATATTTGTCCCTTTAATTATTTATCTCTGACCAGGGCCTGTTAAAGGGTTGTATACTTTGCATGCCAATAATGTTTCCATGGCACCAAGAAACCTACAGTACATATGACTGGATGATCCAACTACAGCTTAATGAACATGAAACTGTAACTCAATGGATGAGTCCAGACAAAGAGTGGTTGTGTTATATTTATTACCACAATAACACAACAATCTGAGCAACTAGATATCATAACAGGAATATTTTAATTTCTCTACTGGTGAAACAGTTCCATAACACAACATACCCAAAAGTCTTGAGATAGATACATCACTTTAAAGCTACATAGGGCACTACTGCACACAGTATTTAAGATGTCTTCAATATCTAGTTGGAGATTCACAAGCATGTCAGAAACACCATCATCAACTCAACAACAGCTATGTGCATTTACATTGTGCTTCAGTCTCAGATTTAGTGTGAACAGCCCACATATCCTAACCTGTGTTTAAATTGTCTCTTTTTTTTAAATACTGAGTACATGTACTGTAGCTATGCATACACAATGATCAAACACACAGGGACAGAGTGCAATAACTGCTGGCTGCATTCGTAGACTGCTTGAATAATTGAAATGTGCAGTAACATTTTTGTAACACAACGGCAGGCAAAACCCCGACAGAACATTCACTACGTCCACTACAACAAACAACTGTCACCATGTAAAACACACAGGAAGTCTATTCGGCCTGATGGAGATGGGGAAAAACAGAATTTAACATGCTCTCAGCATTTTCAGCAGAAAAACAAGACAGCCAAGGCTTTCTTTCAAATGTGGTGTTTCTCTGTTTGATATAATGCAGGGGGGGATTCAGGGAGATTTGGCCACAACTGCCAGTTTATAACTTCTAACACCATGCTATAATGTTACGATGCAAAAGCATGACTGAACACTCCCCAACACACCAACATCTGTCACTGATAGGAAGTGTGGTTATAATTGTAAGGGGCTGTAGGAAAATTATTAGGGTGGAGAGGGGGTCAGAATTTCTCTTTTGTCTTGTCCTAAATTTATATTTTTCAGCTTTATTTTGCAGTGTAGGTAGTTGCAAAAATAAACTTTTAATGTTCAAAGGTAACGTTTAAGGCCCCAAAAACATTTTCTTTTCATTGTGAGAGATGGGGTCCTTCTATTTTCAGCCCAAGTTTGAACAGTTTTTCAAAGATGTCTATTTATCTGATTTTGTCATTGCTATAGAGTGCTTCAGGAATGAGTCCTAAAACCTGGAAATGCATTAGCATTTTTCCCTCAGTTTCCTCATCTCAAAGTCAGTGGGTTTTTCTGAATGGGTTTTTGGTTACACGCCTGAAACAAGGTCTGTGCTTAACACAAGCTTTCATGTTTTGTTCTACAACATAAAACACATCAGTTAATATCCCACTGTGAATTTTGAAGCTTTTATGTGTCTTAAAAAGTGGTTAAATGAAACTACAGCACACCATCACGCCGAACACGGCTTCACAGCCTCGTTGTGGTAGGAATGTAAAGTCATGTGACTGTAGTGTAGTTCGGTCAGGAACCTTTCTTCAGAAAAAAATATGTGCAGTAGCTAACAGCAAAAGACAAATAATTTTTTGATCCCCTTTATATTGTGCCATGAATTACAGAAGCTATATGATGTATGTCAATTTAAAAGATAATTTCACAAGTCAAGAAAGTTGCAGTTTGTCATAAAGTGTTTAAGTATAATGCTATGTTCCGTTTACCTGGAAAGTTGGAAGCTGGAAAACCAAGATGTTGTTAACAATACCAGTTCAAGCCAGGTTAGCCAATGTTTGCAAAACCAGTCAATAAGAATGCACTCTGTCATATTTTGCACATACAAACACCACAGCAATGTGTCCATAGATAGAAGTTGGACAGGACTGTGTGTGTGTCTTTTGAGACACAAATAAGACAGAAGTCCTTATAAACAGTATATTTCAACAGCTTTAACTACTGTTGATGTGCAGAGCAGCCATCTTGGATTTTGAGGTTGGGGTTGGTGAATTTCCTCTGACTGTTTCGAGCTGGAAATTCGACTTTAAGGGGCAAGTTGAAATTTCTGACTGGGAACTCGGATATTGTGACTTTCTGGTGCAAATGGAACACAGAATACAGCATTAGAAAGAATAGCCACGTCACGTAAGTGATATTGAAGCTGTCTCTCTCATTGACAGTGCAATGCTTGTGTGTATTATACCCACACAAGCAACAGGTCTTTCACTTTCTGGCTGATAAAAAGACCAGAATTCAATGTATAAAACACATCAGGTAAGGTAACGTTACATTTATGAGTGGAACATGATTAAGTTAGCCAGCTAGCTAGTTAGCTAGTATAGGTGATGTATGTTGTGTGAGACGAGAGATGAGGTTCACTTATGAATTTCACACTATTTTTAACAGTACTACAACAAACCTACGACAAACTGCAACTTTATTGACTTAAATTATCTCTTAATTTCATATATAATAATTGAGAAGCGATAAATAAAAGACTTGCCTCACCATAGACTACCGTACACATTTTTTCCAAAATAAGGTCTCATGGGGGACATATGTGTTGTGTTGTGTTGTTGTGTTGTTTGCCTACGTGCCTAGCCATTGTCAATCAAACGTGATCGCTTAGTTAAACCCTAATTAACGATGAATAAAGATGTATTACCAATTTTAACTTTGGTTGTTGCTTATTTTGTCATGAAGTGTTTGGAGGCTAAAATAACCCTCCAGCAGGAAACATGAAATTCGGCCCCCCTCACCTTCCCAATAGTTTTTGTCCCAAATGAAACCAAACCTTTGATCTCTTGTTTCTGCCTTTCAAATTAGGTGTTCACATTCACAAATATAGAACTTATGATATCATGGAAATACCACAGTAAATTTTGTCTAATGTATGCCCTCGATAAATGGTGTCCTATTTCTATACAGTGAATACACAGGTACAGTCACGTGCTGAAATTTATTCCACAGAGACTGATGATTCACAAAACAGCTATATGAGGTTTTAACCCCACAGAAACGTTAAGGATTTATCATTATTCAAACTTCAACCAAATCAAGATTGTTGCTGCCAACAGGTTTTTCATAGATTATGTTTTTATATGTTGAAGTGTATCTTCAAGCCATAGAGAACTGTTGTATTACAATGTTCTCCTCAACAGGGGACGGTGACCAATATAGAGCCCTTTCAAAGCTGAGCTCAACAAAGTCCCTCCATTTCGATGAAATCCTCTCTACCAGCCCTCTGAAAAATGGGCTCTTAGCATTTCCTTGCTTTCCAAAAGTGCTCGTCTTGAAAGGGTCAAATGCTTTGCCTCCAGACCCCTTTCAGTTCTGAACTTTCATGATCTTTCAGGTCATAAGCAGGAGGGGTTTCAAAGCATCAAACAACACTGCGCCCGTGGATGCCTGTTGTTGTTAAAACTTCCATTTTTGCCTCTGCTTGCAGAGCACCATGCTAAAAGCAGCCTCCATGCCTCCCTGTGGGCAGGTCACTGTAGACTACACCAGACCAGTCTGCATGTGGACGTGTAACGGGTAGGGGTGGTAGACGAGTGGGGGCTGGGCCTGGGTAATGAAGTAGCTGCTGTAAATTGGCTCTGTCATGTACGGAGCTGGCTGATAGAAACATGTGACATTGGCCGTGTTGGGGATCGCGTTCTGCTCACCTAGCACCCTGAGAGCCAGGACTGTGATCATATTCAGTGTCTGTCTCCTCTCGTGTCCCATCAAACACACCGTGCTCTCATCTATCACACGCCGCAGGGTCATCAGGTAGTCGTACTTGCTGGTCTCCTCGTTGCCAATGAAATGGCATTGCAAGTAGGCCTCAATCTTCCGTTGCTGCTCACTCACGTCAGGGAAGTCGATGAAGAAGCGGGAGCACATGTATCGCTCCAAGGACTTGATCTCTGTCTCGCTGGCTGGTCTGAAGTTCCTCACGAGCAGGTCGCTGTATTTTAGCAGGCCCCCTCCTCGGATCTCCTCTGGGTTGTGGGTGGCGATGAGGCGGTGGCGGAGGTGGTCCATCGCCTGGTCAAAGTCTCCATACATGCACTCTGCTTCGACTGTGATGGCGGGCCCCCCTACTGCCCCACCCCATGAGCTTGCCCCGCACCTGTCTGGGACTGTGTCTGCCAGCTCAGGTGTTTGCTCATTGATCTGAGGCTGTGCATTTGCAGCATGAGGGTAGCTTTGAGTCTCTGAATCAGGAGGCTTTTTTGAGTGTTTTGGCTTCACAGTTTGTTCCGCAGGTTCATGCGAGCCATCCTGACGTGTACTGGCTGGACTGCATGTGGGAGCTGTAAGGGTGTCTAAGGTCTCTGGCTTGGTGGCTGGAACATTTGAGCCATGAACTTGAGCTCCATCCAGCAAAGGAGGCTTTGGCTGAAGTGGTTTGGGTATTTCTATGGGTGGAAACAGCTGTGTGGTAAGATCTGACAAATCAGTCAGTAAAGACCATTTCTCTGGCTTACTGATCATCTTCCTTGACATTTTCCTTTGTAATTTTGGTGAGGGGCAATAGTCTGGTACAATGTCTTGTGATGCGCTGCAAGTTTTCTTAGCTGGAGGAGGAAAGGAAAATTCAAGATGTGGATCCTGTAGTTTTGAGGTATTTTCAGTCCTGCAGCTTACAGAGTCGACTTTGAACTGAGTAATTTCTGCACAGTGGACTTTTCCCTGCGGAGCTGACTTTTCTGCTGATTGGGAAGCTTGTGACGCAGAAAGCTCTTCATCACTCTGTGGCTTTAAACATGCATGTGTCATCAGCGGATCCCTGACATCTGTTAATAAAGTTTTAGGGGATGAAACTAAAGGATAAACGCTGTGAAACTGTCCTTTCTCTCCTCCATTTTCTTCACATAGCTCAAACACAATGTCCTCCTCTGAATGAACGTCCTCTATGTCATCCACTTCCTCCGGCTGTAAGATAATGCTCTCAGGTCCTAACACCTCCTGTGCCTCATGCTTTCCATCCACATGCTCAGCCTCTGCACATGGAAGTTCTTTCTCAAGCAAAGAAACTGCTTCATCCTGGCATGGACTCTCTCCACTGGAGTCTTTTTTGACATCCGCTTTAACATCCCGAGGGATGCTTGAATTTTCTTGCTCTTTCTTTTCATCCTCATTGTCTCTTTTTGACAAACTCCCAGCATTCAACGCCAACTTTCCTCCTTGTTTCCTTTCAGTCTCCCAGTAAGACTCCAGCATACGGTCCAATATAATCTGGAAGGAGTCCACGCTGAACTCAAACTGTCTTCGAAGGGAGCTGACAAATCTGAGCCCCACCGTTTTAGCTCTATTGTTAGAAAGCGAGATGAGGCTCCATCTGTCATGCTCATTGAAAACTTTCACCATCTTTTGCACGTACGCCTCCTTCATCGTCAGGCAGGTGATCTTGCGTCTGTTCACTCCACAAGGGAGGAGGTCTCGTAGGCTGCCCAGCACCACCTCCTTTATCACCTGGAGGTCTTCCTGTCTGGGCAGCTCCACTCCAAAAATGATGTCTAAGTCTCTATAGCCCAGGCCGTTATCCCTCACCAGGACGTGGCTGGCAGTCGCGCCATTAAGCCGTATATCTTTCACCTGGATGTCTCTTTCAACCAGCCGATCCTTCACCACACGAATGATGTCTTTCGCTCTCACCTGCAGAGTGGGAAAATTTCCTCGTCCATGGATGGGGATGACCTCAGTCAAGACCTTGTCCAGGGCTTGGATTTGCTCAAGGCTCAAGTTGTGGAACCTCTTCTCTGTCTGAAGCTCCATCATTCTCACCTGTGAAACAGAGGTCTGACATATGTATCACATTGTGGCTCATGTGAGGATTAATGGCCAATGAAAAATTTAAGTAGCACAACAAAGAAGAAAACATGTTATTTTCTGAGAATAACATAATCCATCATCTTTGCCCTTTTGTCCTCTGTGCAATATGCCCTTTTCAAATGGCAATGTGCACAGGAAAACTTTTTGTCTTGAAGCATTGTATCATCCCAGCACCTTGTCTACATCCTTATCCTTTACAATGATTTACAATGATGTTCATTCATTTGTTAACGTAAAAGTCAAGGCCTTCACACATTTGGCATTTGCTCTTTTGTTTTTGTTTTCCTGATCCTAAAAGTCTCAAACGCAGTCAAACAAATTTACTGACTGTGCTGAGGGTATTTGTCAGAGATATTTTCACCCTCATTCCTCTCTAAAATGTGCTCCGCTCTGTGACACTGTTTATCAGCTAGATTTGAAATACAATCACTGCTCTGGTTTTCTTCAACATTTAGCATAAAGGGCAGCAATATGGTCAAAGTGAGCCCTGATGACTGAGTGATGCTGCCACTGGGTGGTATGGCAAAGTCATAGGCAAAGTGAATGCTTGACGCACAAGTGACGCATTGTAATTAATTTAATTTTCCCCTCTGTGCACTTGCACAAGATAATTCAACAAGCAACAGATTTATCTGTGTAATGCAACTAAACATGTGTTCACATATTTATTTCTTAAACCCATGATGACAGAATTAACTAAGGCATGGTTGTCATGATAACAGATAACTGCTTCAGCCAATCTAATGCAGACAACAAACTTCGATGATGTGACTGGTTGAGCTGTAAAATAACAACCCCATGCATTATGAGTTTTGAGATGGACTTCAATCATATACATTCCAGTTCTATTCTACGTCACTAGCTGTTTCCTCCATGATCACGCACCCGTCCACTGGTTGCAGGTGACTCACCTGTCTGTCATTCACTGGCTGACAGCTGCAAGGACAATCTGGTTGATAGATCTTTAAAGGACAGGCTGGACCTGTCTATCTATTGCACCTGTGTATAAGCTCTCTCTCTTTGGTACGAGTGCTGAATCTAAGCTTGTCATACCAAACAGGGCGTATAATGCTGTGGTTGTACACCCAGCTGCATGATGTTGCTAATAAACAGTGACGTGCTTATTCCTGCTGTTATAATGTGACAAAATTCTATTTGTAAGAGGAAAATGGGCTCATTATCATTAATGCACACTGACTCACTCACTGCTGAGCCTATGGCTAGTGGGCTTTAAAGGACCTTCATAGTCTCATACCATGGCAACATAGGGTTCAGGGATCAGTTAAGGATCCTCAGGGTGTTTTGACAGATAAATACTCCCATTATCTCGTATACTACAGTGCTTTTATTTTATTTTTTAAAAGGAAGAGATTATACTTCTCAGTAATGTTTTTTCTGTGAGGTAATTCATTTTATTACATTTTTGCCACTGGTTGTGCTATTCATTTATTTATTTTAATCTGTTGCTTCACCATACTAAAGGTAGCTGAATCTGTGCATTTTCCCTAAGGCTTGGCAGAAAGTGGGACGATGCACCAACTTTAAGGTCATCAGATTAATGATGCAATAAATATCACCTAAGATTATTATTATTATATACCCACATAGTATTGTTGTGGGAAAGGTCTTACAATTTCTATTAACATCCTTATTATACACCTAAAAAATTATGGTTAAATGCCATTAATCAGAAAGTGATACCAAGTATATGCCAAATGTATTAAAGGTCCACTGTGTAGGATTTAGGTACCCTGGAAATCCAGAGTTCTTGCGACAGCACAATTTGAATTTGCTCAGCAAGTCACTCTGGCAATCAGTAATGATGCTCATTACCCATGCCGTTGGAGTCGAGCTGCACCAATCACATCGGTGTATCTGATATAGGCGGGCCAGAGGCGAGCTAAACAGATGACGACAACGCTGCGACAACGAAGTCCGGAATCAGTCAGTAAACATTGCAAGATGGCTATGTATGAACACCAGTTGTTTGAAACGGCTTTGGCCGCTACAATGAACGAGTTAGACTTGGCTTTTTCTCTAAAACAGGTACAGAAGACGGCGCTCGAATCTTTCCTTTGCAAGAAGGACGTTTTTGCTGTTTTGCTGACTGGATACGGCAAGAGTCTAATCTACCAGTTAGCTCCGCTGGTAGCTAAGCGTATACGTCACCCCGTGTATTGTTCTGATTGGTCGTAGTGTTATCCATTTGCGTGCAGTGATATTTACAAATGCATGCTTGGTGCCGCCCCTCGAGTTGGGCCATTTGCATTACTCAAAGCCAGACCCTAAATCTTTCTAGATTTGGGTCTGGATTTCCAGGCTAGGATTTGGGGGGGGGGGGGTATTGGCAAAAATAGAATAAAATATAATAAGTATGTTTTCTGTAGTGTAATCACATGAAAGTAAGAATCGTTGAGTTTTTGTTATTTTATAATGAGACGTTTGTATCTACATCAGGAGTGGGTCTTCATGTACAGGGATCGCCATGTTGCACTGCTATGTTTCTACAGGAGCCCAGGATGGACAAACCAAATGCTGGCTCTACATAGGGCCATACAGTTTTTGCATCAGCCACCATAGTTAGCAGCTCCTCCATAACAAAAGCATCAGAATAAACACTATTTTTTCTATGTACAACTGTTTTAATCAGTGTTTTTGCTGGTTTAAATCACCCAGTCTGTTTGTTTTTGGAGAGGAGGAGACCTCTGTGGATAATTCAGCTCCCGGTAAAAACCTCCTGAAAGCTGAATCTTAATTTTCAGAGAAAAAAGGTGATCATACATTAGCAGGTGCCGGGCTAGTGGCACATGTCTTGTCCAACATGCCAAACAGCGTAGAAGAAACCCTGATTTGCAATGTAAAACTGCTATATTTAGTGTTTTTGCTGGTGTAAATCACCTGATCTGTTTGTTTTGGAGAGGAAGAGACCTCTGTGGATAAAAAACTCCTGAACAATAAACACTAAAGGCTTCAGCTTGTTGCACTCTGCAACCTGCACTGCTAGATGCCACTAAATCTGGAATTTCTCAAGTGTGGGATCAATAAAGGTGTATCTTATCTTATCCCCCTAACTCCTGTTCCTTTAAGCAGTGATTTGAAATGATCATCTAAATCTATAGCATATATTGTTCTGTTATTTGTTTTAGTAATTATTCTTATATTATTTTGGCATTTTTTAGATATAGTTTGGATAAAGAAAGAGGATAGTGCAATGTTGCATTTAATGAATTACATTCAATATAGCCAAAGCTTAATGTAAATACTTTAAAAAATATATTATTTATGTCAGAGAAAAAAATAGCTAACCATGTTGATTTTATAGTTTTCAAGCTGTCCTGGTCAAGTGATGCACTGTAAACAGCGCCTGATCATCTGCTGGGTGCACAGTGTGTGAGCAGCCCACTACATCCTCAGCCTGTGTTAGTATTTAGCGGTCATCAGTGTAAATGCAGTCAGTGGCAGTATAACTCGGGGCACAGGGAAGCATGGCCCACAGCAGCCTCTAGTGAATCTCAGGGGTTACATCAGCTCGGTCCTGCAGCAGGACTGCTCCTCTGCCACTTCTTTATAGATAAGACTATATGAGTCATACAGCCCCTGAATGAAGCATCACTCGTTGGCTCTCCTGGATTATGTCCCTGTGCGCAAAGAAACGACACAAAATGCACCACTTCAGGTGGCGTTTGGGTGGTGAAATTCATAAAATATTTAAACACTGAGCCTGGTGAGTAGATAAGAGCTAGCACATTACAGACAGTAATGTTAAGCCTATAGGTTGTCGTGATCTGGATGCATACATATTGGTAGACATTTTTTAACACTCCTATGACCAACAACATTTTGCACAGGCCACTTTTGTTCTTTGATGTTTAAACTCAAAATGCATGTTTCAACTATAACTAAATCTCAGTTCAAAACGAGCCCAGCATCTGTATTTTATGGTGCATTTATACTCGTCACTAGACAAAGATGCAGGTCACAAGTTGGCAGACTACAAGCAAAGGTACAGGCTAATATTAGGGGCAATATGCTGGAGGAAAAGATCAGTAACGTTAACTGCGTTTCAGCAGAATGAGACACAATAATACAACACCCGCACATTTAAAAAAAACTCACCTGGTTTGTCGCCAAATAAAAATGGAAAGTAAAGCCAGAGTAGCAAAAACAAGACAAGCAAAAATCCCCACTGAGATATCCAACAGGTTTATCCGTTGGAGAGGTTGATGCTGAAGTTAACACGGACAGTTTCCTCTCAGCGCAGGAGCACTGTTTCCATGGCAATCAGGCGTCACGAAATTTACGGTAAATCACGACGCTCTGGTCTCTCTCTTTAACCAGCAAGTGACAACCTCTCAAGTTTGAAACAGACCAGGAATATCAGGGCTATCCAAACGCATCTTAACAGTTTGATAAAGTTTTATTGGTGGAGCACAGCGACTTGTCAGGCTGAACTACCTGCGTGCCACCGCACTGCCGAGCTGTTGCGGGGTGAACATCACATCAGACGGGGTGAGTCATCCTCTCTCCCCGCCGTGATCCACACCGTAAATCTAATCATCAATCAACCGCTTTCACCGCCCACTACTCCGCCGGTACACCGCCACATACACTTTTATCCGACTGTAGTTACTCACAAAACAATACTAACCTGCGTTTAGATATAAAAAGTGTTGTTTAAATGTAACCGGTTAGTTTTTTTTCTTTTTCATTCACATTTTGCAATGAGGAGGAGGGGGGCAGCTTCCTCGTGACGTCATATGGAATACCGTCACCACGTGACGCTGACGTCGTTCATATTTTGGTAAGACACCAGGAAGTGCGGAAGAAAGCGAACACCGAAACCCGAAAGGCTGAAGTTTCACCGACTGGTTTTACCTTTTTAAAACTACTTTTTCGCTCACTGTCCGTGAAGGGTTTTTTGTGTATTTGTTGGAGTCACCAAGAGTCGCCTCAAGATGCCAAACATGGACAGTATCCTTTTAAAAACAGCGGTGAGAAAAGGGACGTAAGACTGGTGTAACATCAATATAGGGCTTAAAGACGGAACATAACAACAAGACTGATATAGCCTATGGCGTGACAGACATCTGAAACATGACCAAGTAGGTTAGATATTTACTAAAGACACGACTGCTGCCTTATTTAACTACCTCCCATCTTCGTATCAGTTTCAGTCGCCATTGACGGGACAGAGCTGGATTGAAGGCCTTGGCAGCTACATTGCTAATGGCTAGAAATACCCAACACCAGACACTTAGCGGTTTACAGGTTGTTTGTGTTGTCAGGGTGTTAGTTAATACTCCAAATGTTAAAGTAAATAGCTCTGTTTTCACCACATCATCTTGTCATTACTGTTCCTAATTTAACACAGAATTAAACAGCCGTAAATAAATAGGAAACTCCAAAATACCTGTTACATAACCTGCATGTGTCACTGCCTGTCTACTCAGTCAAGAGTAACTGTAAATATCAGACTATGTGCCTATTAACTGAGCTGCAACTATGAATTTAGAATTGATGTATTGTCAGATAATTAATTGGCAACTATTTTAACTACTTTAAATGCTCGATTTAGTTATTATCTTAAGCAGAAAAATGTGAGAATTTGATGCTTGTCTTTATCATACATGATAATAAACTGAAACGCTTTCGATTTTTGGAGTTGATGAGATAAAACATACCATTTATGTCACCTTGGACTCTGGTAGTTATACAGGGCATGTCACTGCTTTCTGACAGCTTATTGACAAAACGGTTAATTGATTAATAGAGAAAATAATTTGCAGGTTAATTGTTAATGACAAAAATCATTAGTTGCAGCCCTAATTATATATAACAACACCTTATGAGGAAGGTAAGTACACATGCTTGTTGTGTTTGTTTGGACTTTGTTCTTCTTTAACCTGATATCACAGAACAGCTCTTCAACCTAAGGTTCGCTGCCAAAGAACTTCAGAGAAATTCCAAAAAATGTGACAAAGAGGAAAAACTGGAGAAGGCTAAAGTCAAGAAAGTAAGTTGCACTTCTGATGCTGGTCATCAAGGCAGCACATTATGAAAGCCCACTGGCTTTTTTTGGATGCAGAACATTTTACTGAACCACGTTACTTTTGTGTTGTCTGTAGGCCATCCAGAAGGGGAATATGGAAGTGGCAAGAATCCATGCAGAGAATGCCATCAGACAGAAGAACCAGTCTGTGAACTTTCTCAGGATGAGCGCTCGGGTAGATGCAGTTGCAGCGAGGGTCCAAACTGCAGTTACGATGAACCAGGTACCATGAAAAATGGGTCACAGAGTGACATTTTAGACTAAAAAAGATTTGTTGTTGTCATTTTAATTATGCTTTATATTATTTTTTTAATTTGTCAGGTCACAAAGTCTATGGCTGGAGTGGTGAAAGGCATGGAAGCCACTCTGAAGTCCATGAATCTGGAAAAGGTAGAGTGTCGTCGGCACGTAAAATGATGCTGTCTTCCATATTTCTTTTTTTGCGAAAACAGTGTAGTCGTGGTAACAGTTGATAACAAACTCCTGAGTTGTAAAACATTGTCTCCATTCCTCTTTTTTTCCCAGATTTCGGGGCTCATGGAGAGATTTGAGCGCCAGTTTGAAACTCTGGATGTTCAGACAGCCCATATGGAGGACACCATGAGCAGCACAACAACACTCACAACACCACAGGTACATTTCTCTGCTCTGCTCTTAAAATCTTTCTGGTTGTGTTGTAAGACAAACATTCACTGTAAATCTATTGTGTGTTTTCAGAATCAAGTGGAGTCACTGATGCATGAACTGGCTGATGAAGCAGGGTAATCTTTTCATTTTTTGTCTCAAGATCCTTTGTAAGATTATTTTAAATCACACATGCAGGTATATGATATTCATTTTAGAGTGCAGGCCAAGGTTAAAACGTAAATATGGTTGTTATTTCAAAGAATGTGATAGACATTTATCATTGAAAATTGTTTTAGAAAGTATTATTCAGTACAATGTGAGCAAAGATGTTGTGTTAATATAAAAATAAGGTTTGAATGTTGGTGTGTGCATCGTGTATAGATTGGACCTGAACATGGAGCTCCCTCAGGGACAGACTGGATCAGTGGGTACCAGCGTGGCCTCTGCAGAACAGGTACACCTGCAAACCTGGTGTTAAAGTTTGCTACAATTAAACATAAAAACAACACATAAAAAAGTTATCAGAAACCAGATTGTTTGTAGCATTTTAAAACAAGGGTTTATCGCAAAGACTGAGTGATAGACACAGGAAATGTGATTACAGAAAGTGCCCAAATCTCTGTATTTGTCAAACAAAGACTTTAAAACTGCAGCATTTGCAAGACGTTTAATGGAACAGATTCTCTTAATAACCCTGGTTCTTCTCTCACTGTCATCTTCCTCACTAATGCTTATCTCTGCTCTCTCTTGTCCGAAGGATGAACTGTCACAAAGGCTCGCCAAACTCCGAGACCAAATGTGAAGGACGACTGCAGTGGACTGGCACTGTCATGCAGAGTTCCAGAACACTACCTGAATATTACTCCCACACACACACCTTTTATTTACATCATGTCTCTTCTCCTCTTTACATCTCGTGTGTCTCTGTTGAGGAGCTACTGTATCATTGTTTGTTTGTTTTCTCTCGGGTAATGAGCCTCGGTGGTTGTGTGTGTATAATAACCTTTGGATTCTGTAAACTAACAGAAATGCTAGTTATGGAAAATGTATATTTCTTAAATATACGTATTACCCACACAGGAGATCTAATGTAACGTTATTGTTTAATATGTATACTTAAGAACGTCATACATTTTCTTACAAATATGGAGCGTGGCTCTCATTATGCCCTGTATTTATAGGCCAATTTCATAAAGTTGAGGTGGAAAAGATGAAGACTTTGGACTATAGAATTCATTTTTTTTTAGAATTTCATTTTTTTCATTTTTGTTCATACCTGCATGAGTGCAGAAGATATATATGCATTTTTCCTTCTTGGTTTCAGAGTGTGAAAGACCTTCTCACTTACTGTTGAACTGACTTATGTTTAGATTTATTGCATTTTACTTCTGAGGAATATTTTAAGAAGATACCAGATGATTAGCCTGTCTGGGCATCTTCAGTACTTTCACTGATCATTTGGGAAGGGGTTACAGTTTGGAGATTACAAACAGTAAGTAAACAATAAAATTTTATAATACTTTTATCTCTTTGCCTTTTCAATAAATTAATTTTAGTCATTTCATATACATTTCTATTTCATCCATCTTGAAAAATACACAAAACTACAGAGACATGATGTATATCTTTGGGGGAGACTGCAGTGTGTTTTTATGTTGAAGTATTGGCACTTCCAGCTGTTTGGGTGGTGAACAGGAAATGAAGGGTCTCATTAATCAGCATTATGTAGGTGCCAATATTTGCAGAAAATATATGCCATCCAACTGATGAATATCCTCAGAGAACCAGAAGAATAACTGCTGAGACTATAAGTGCATTCAAGAGAAGATTTTGTCAGCTTTTTGCCACAAATATAAATATGTATTATAATCATATAGAAGATGACATCAAGTATTTCAGGTGTGCGTCAAGTGGCTCTCCTCATTTTGGTGTGTTATTTCTGGGTGACTTTCATTCGCCCATCAACCTTAAGTAGACAAGTGGTCCAGATTAGCTGCTCTCTGTCTTTGCCCTCTGTCTGTTGCCACTGTGTGCCTCTTGGTAATCATAGCTCCCTTCAAGAGGAAGTCCTCATTTCAAACCTTCTTTAGATGTACTGCCACACTGTATGCAGATGAAATCCAACTTAATCCATCACTGTGGACTCTAAAAAGTCTCTCTGTGTACGGAAAACACATCTCTCTGTACAAAATGCCACTGGCCTTTGGGTAGGTTGTTTATTAAAGTGTACCATGGTCATGGTATTAAGTGCATGAATTTGGAGAGATTCTTTAGCCTAAGTAAACAGCACAGATAAAGTAGGTGAAAACATGGAAAATCTTGCAGTGTTGTTTTACAACTGCTCATTATTTATTTCACTGGTCTCTTTACTTTGACAGAGTGGTGGTCAAACAGCACACTTTGCTCCTTAAATGTTGCCATACAGTCTGCCCAGCACCCAGACACACGCATACAGTTTGCACACAGTAGTGTCTGTAAATATAAAAGCAGTGAACGAGGTGTTGAGAGAGAGATTGCACTGAGTTACAGAAGCTAGTGGAATAGAGGCTAGCCTGGACTTCATTACCTTGCTCTCCAGCTTATATCCATGCACACATGGATGTAAACGCGTAATTAATGTGTGTAGTTTTATGTGTGGGTGTTATTTTGGACTAACGGAGCTGGATACAGCTGACACCGGACGGGGCCAGGGTCGGAAACATTACTGCGCATGTACAGTAGACTGCACACGCCTGTTTACTGCCATCTAGTGGTCACTTTGAAGAACTGCAACAAAACGTTACACGCTGAATATTGATATGTAAACGGTATGCGAGTGATTTTAGAGAATATAATAATATTTGTAATTACTCTCATTAACGAGTTGTTGTTTTTGTTATTGGATTTTCAATATGTGTTTTCG